GAACAGTACCAACCAGACCAACGTCACCCATAGCCTGTCTCTTATACACATCTAGATGTGTATAAGAGACAGGTCCGGTATTGTTTTGGGCGGGGACCTGGTAGGGCCTGCCCATTTCGGTTCACGATATGTCCAAATAGCGGCAGTATGTATCTAACTTACCTGGTCAAAGGAGTAATATCAACAAGGACAAACACGACGACCGAGTACACTCGAGGAGGGAAAAGACTGCTGTGCCAGCAACAGCGCGCTGGGAACCTTGTCAAGCAAGTATTCCGCTTACTTTTCCGTTTTGTTTTCAGAGGTCGATAGTAAGGAGATAAAGATCTCGCCCCACTCCATTCCTAGCGGATAGGAACGTCGAAAGTCCAGCCTCATCCGGGAGAATACGCCAAACTGAGACGAATTAGCGAACACGTTTGGAATGACGACTCTTTCCGAGACAGAAGCCCTAACGTTTTAGAGGAGAAGATCGACTTGACTAGAGGAGCAAGCTGAACTCGTAGTGGACAAGTACGCACAGGGCGTCGACAACAGAGAGACGCCTCTCCCAGGGGCTACCTCTCTTCACTCTGCCCTGCCTATATAACCACCTGCCCCACCCCTCCCCCACCCTCCATCTCCTCGTACCACTCTCACCGCTCCGAATCCCACCAACCTTTCCTCACACTCTCTCACTGTCCAGTCACCTCCCCTCAACAATACCAACACTTCCATCCAGACAACGCACCCGATCAACCCCCACCCAAACCCGCCTCCGATCGAATCTGACCCCCCCCCCCCCCCCCCCCCCCACACCCCCCACCCTACTTTCGGGATCTTACCACTCTACCCTTCTAACGAACCCATCCAAAAGCTCCCACTGGAGCGCCCACCCTGAACCCCCCCCCGCCGATATCCAAACCTCTCCCTGAAAGAGCTACAGCCCCAACACACGAGCAGCCACCACCCCATCTCACACCCATACTGCTCTCCACAAAACGATCCCCCCGAATCCACACCCAAACACAGCGGAGGATTCTTTAACTTATTATTTATATTCATTAATTAAAGTTTGATTACCCTCGTAAGATTCCTTATTCATCTTTTATTATCAAATTATCTATTAATTATTAAAGGCCTA